CTATTTCTTTGTACTAGAATTGTGCTTCTGATTTTAAATTGTACCCTAAAAGCTCATTCCCTCCCTACTTTTTGATTATTCTACCCAAAAGTCAAGTCATTTAAACAGAATTCATGCAATAAATCTGTCTGAAGGGAGTCTGAGTGGTGATTATGCATCAATGTGTATAGTATCAAGTACTTACATAATAAAAACAAAGGATAAGGAATGAGTTTATTTTAAAAATATTTTTAACATTTAAATTTTACAATGTCAAGTGGAATCAAACTCCTGATTGAGATTAATTGAAATATATTAAAATATATTAAAGGGATTGCAAGAATCCAATCCTACTACCCTTTTATGGTCAACTTCCTGAAAATGTGATTTATACTCTTTTCTTTTTAGTCAGTTTCTTATCAGAGATTTTGCCATATCTATCTATCTATCTATCTATCTATCTGTCTGTCTGTCTGTCTGTCTATCTATCTAACTATCTATCTATCTATATAAAAGTTTAATATGCAGATTGTCCCCTCGGGAGTTCAACTGGGAGACCAGGAGTTCAATTGCTCGCTATGACGTGTGCTGACCACCAGGAGGCGGCGCGGAACGAAGGAAGGCCCCAGCCAGCAGCCAGAAGAAAGGCCCCGATCGGCCCTGATTGCTGGCCAGGCCTAGGGACCCTACCTGTGCACGAATTTCGTGCACCGGGCCTCTAGTTATTATCATAATTCCAGCTTATGGTAGTGTCTCAATGAATGTGTTGAATGGAACCTAAGTTATATATTGTTAAATGTCAATTTTATGGATGTAGACTTTTGCCTATAAAAGAGTAAAAAGCATAGGACTTGCCCTCTTTCCATTAACAATTAAGAAACTGGACAAAATATACAAAACAACTGTCTTCAAACTGTTGGACAGTAACAGCGTAGGAATATGATTCCTAAAAGAAGGGAAGGAAAAGAGGTGAGTAGAATGCTGACTCTACTTTTTGCCTAGAAGAAATTTCTAGATCACAGCACAGAGAGAGGGAACCCAAGAGAGCCCATTACATTGAGTTGGAGAAGCAGAGATAGGAGTTTGAGGAAGCCACAGTGATTGGAATTTATAACAAAAGAGATCTGATAGCAGTCTCCTTGAGTCTTTAGTGAAATACTAATTTCCATGTGTGTAAATGAAATTGAAGTTCATCAGGCCAGGCAAAGAATAACTCTGAGAGACCTATATCCTGAACAATTCTCAGGGCTTCCCAACCAGAATGAAGAGACCTCATTGAAAACCTAAGGATTTCACTGACGGTCATGCCTTGGATATGGGTCTAAAATTGCTGTAGATTAAGGGCTGCTCTATAACTGCCCTTTCTGAGAGTGAAACTAGTCTTGGTAGGATCAAGCCAATCTGCAAGTAACTTAACTGCCTTCTAAAATAAACCTCAATAGCCGAAACCGGTTTGGCTCAGTGGATAGAGCATCGGCCTGCGGACTGAAGGGTCCCGGGTTCGATTCCGGTCAAGGGCATGTACCTTGGTTGCGGGCACATCCCCAGTGGGAGATGTGCAGGAGGCAGCTGATCGATGTTTCTAGCTCTCTATCTCTCTCCCTTCCTCTCCGTAAAAAATCAATAAAATATATTTTAAAAAAATTAAAATAAACCTCAATAATCATTAGAGGGAGACAAGAAAATCTAAATATTCAACAACGTGTTATATATATAATGCCCAGTATCAAACGCAAAAATTACCAGATATGCAAAGCAGCACAAAATGTGACCCAGAATCGGGAGAAAAATCAACCAATAGAAACACAACTAGAAACCACAGAGATTAATGTATTCAGACAATGAACTTGAAAAAGTTTAACAACTGTTTAAACACACAAAGGATTTAAATGAAAACATGAACATAACACAGAAAAAAGTGTAAGGTTTAACAAAGAACCAAAGAAAATCTAGAGCTGCAAAATTTTTGATTTTCAAGGAATTTGTCCATTTCATCTAAATTGTCTACTTTTGCCATAAAACTGTTCAAACTATTTCCTTATTCTTTTAATATTTATAGGATGTATAGTGATATCTCTTCTCCCATTCTCCATACTGGTAATTTGTATTTTACCTGTTCTTTTTTTTTCTTCAATCCTCTTCCAAGGATATTTTTTTCCATTGATTTTTTTCAGAGAGTGAAAGGAAGGGAGAGATAGAGATAGATAGAGATGGGGGGGGGAGGGAGAGAGAGAGAGAGAGAGAGAGAGAGAGAGAGAGACATTGATTGGTTGCTTCCCTCATGTGCCCTGACCAGGGCCAAGTATCGAGCCTGCAGCTGAGGTGTGTGCCCTTGACTGTGAATCAAACCCAAGACCCATTGGTGTGCAGGCCAATGCTTTAACCACTTAGCCAAAGTGGCCAGGGCTCTGTTCTTTTTTCTTAATCTGTCCAATTGAACTTTGCAAAAAACAAATTTTTGGTTTTATAAATATTCACTATTGTTTGCCTATTTTCTATCTAATATTCTGTCTCAACTGTTCTTTGTGTCTGCTTTTTATGCCTTTTACAGGCATACATCAGAGATATTGTGGGTTTGGTTCAAGATTACCACAGTAAAGTGAGTACTGCAATAAGCGAGTCATAATCTTTTTGCTGGTGGAGGGTCTTGTCTTCAATTTGTAAAAACATGCAACATCTATGAAGTGCAATACAGTGAGGCACAATGAAACGAGGTATGCCTGTATTAAATTAATTATTTTTTGGTATTCCATTTTCTCTCCTCTATTGCCTTATTAGCTATTCTTTTATTTTTTAATGTCTTCTCCAAGATTTGTAGTATACATATTTAGCTTAATACTAGTATCAAATAATGTTATATCACTTTGTGTATACTGTACGATCCCATAATAGTATAGTTCCACTCCTCCAGTGATGTGTGGTAACAACCAGATCTTTAAGGTTAAAAAAAAAGGCCCTGATTTGTATCATTTGCCAGTGTCATGGAGTAAGTACTCTCGTCATGGGAGATTTCAAGCTACCAAAGTTATGTCAAGGAATTCAGAGTTGGGAAGAGATATACACACTCAGCATTTGTAAGCCAACACAAGCTGACTACACTATTCCATTGATTTCCCTCTTTTACCTTTTGTGCTCTTTTTATCATATATTTTACTTCTACATGTTAGAAACTCTGTAATACATATTTATTATTTTTATATCAAGTAATCTTCTAAGGAAATTTAAAAATGAAAAAAAGAAATCTTTACTATTTACCCACATGTTTAATGTTTCTGGCTCTCTTCATACCTTTGCGTAGGTTACAATCTTAGGTGTTTTGTGGGCATATTTTTCCAGCATGCTTTCATAGACTGTAGAGTAATTTCTCTCATTTAATTTTTTCTTGTAATAACTTTGTATAGTGTTTGACCATGGGACTTTCTGTTGCTCAATTTTAAGTGAAATTTGCTTTCCTGAACTTTTAGAATAAGGCTATTTTTACTTAAAAACATAGTAGCTTGCTTTTTAGGGTTTCTTGATTTTATTCTCTTGTCCACTTTGGTCTAGACCTTTTTATTTCATCCTTGTTGTCCCTTTCCTTGACAATTTGATTTCACTTCTAAATAGTGTTTCTTGCTTCAGACTGCTCCAGATCCTTTAGTACTTCTTGGGAAAGGTATTTTCACATCTAGTCATAGGACATCTCCTTGCAGGCTTCCCCCAGAAAGTCACAGGCATGCTCATCCTTTATGCTGGAGGTTCTAGGAACACTATCTCCTGGAGTTTCACCTGCTCAAAAGCCCTCAGGCTCTGTTGTCCAAAGCCTTGGAGAGCCAGGAGAGCCAAACGTAAGTCTTGAGTGACATAGACCTGAGGGCTGAAGACTCTGATCCAACGGGGACCTTTCTCTGGTGCTGGGGAAGAGCTGTCAAGTGCCCTACCTCCACTTCCTTTCAATTCTAAGAACTTGGAAAGAAGACCAGAGCAGATAATTAATGGTTAGCATTCCAACATATTTGAGATATTAATGGATCCCCTTTGAGGATTGATAAAAGCCTGGGGCTCTCACTGTGGTATCAGACACACACACACACACACACACACACACACACACACACACACACACTACTTGTGTATAGTTTTTATGTATTCATATCTCCAGTTCAGTGATTCTCTGCAGCCTTACACCACGTGCCCCTGGGCTGAAAGGGTGGGGACAGAGGCTAGTTAACCTGTTTTTAGCAGATGCTAGAGCCCATGGGACTAACTGTTGTTAAATTACACATATAGACAAGTGACATATATTTATGTAAAAGGCCTGTCAGTGGGAACATTTAGAATAAATAAAACATAAGATAATTCAATTGTAGAAACTAATAGTGGACACCAATTGTCTACAAATCTGTACAGGTCAGAGGTTTATTTTGGAACAGTAAACCCAGAGAAACCAGGTGGAATTTGCTCTTCTTTTCCAGTAGTGAGCAGGGACATTAAACAATGGTGTTTGCTCTGGGGGCAATAGAGTGATCAGTGATCTGTTTGTTTTGGCCTCAGACCACTAGACTCTGCTCAGCTTAACCAGTTGCTACTCATGGGCCCACCTGATGATCTTGGGACTTGGCTTCTTTTGGTGAAAGTAACGGGAAGTGAAATCCCTAAATAATTTTGGAAGAAAATAACAATGACACTTTCCAGAAACTGTGTCACAGGATGGTTAAGGACAACTGAACACACTGAGTCCAAACTCCTATGTTCTAGCTTTGCTGGGCACTTTCCCAGTTATATCCTCTCTGGCCTTCAGTTTTCCTCTCTGTGAAATGAGCTCATTGTAGGAGGTGGTCTTTCAAGGTGTGTTTTGCTGAAGGGCCCATTAGCAATGGGGGGAGCCATAAAGAAATTAGGTGGAGTTACTTCATTATCATTGAATGTGCCATCAGTACTTGGTCCATGCCAGGTGTTCTGTAATGATAGTCATTTATATCTATTGGTGACTGCTACATGCCAAGAGCCAG